CGAGAAATACGGTAGTTAACTAGCCTAATTTTTTTCTGTCATTTAAACAGCTCATAAATCACAAACCAGAAACATCCCTGAGTTCTTTTTTTATGAATACTATTTCAAATTTTCCTGAAAATGCTTGATCTCAAATTTAATTGCATTTGAAAGGTGAGTCTATTACCTAGCCTGTCCTCACTGATTGTCATACATTAGAAGACATTAGATATTCATCAGCCGTTTGCAACATAATTTAACAGCATAACAAACATCTCTCTACACCAAGCCCAAACAGAAACTCTACATTAAAGCCTTTAACAAGGGCTAAGTTTATTGCAGGGCGTGTAATACAGGATATCTGTTTAAGGAAGGTGTAACTGTGAACTGGAATATGTCCTGGTTGCACTGCACACAGAACAGTTTAGTGGTGCTCACATCTTTAAAGAAAAACGTTTAATTTAATTGTAAAGAACTTTTCTCTTGTAAGGTTTCTTTTCTTTAGGAGTGAAAGAAGCCTTCTATGTCAACTGCGAACGACCATCTTTGAACAGAGGTGGTGGCTTATGACACCAACTGTCTGCCATCTATAATCCAGTTCTGAGATCCCTTCCCAGATGCCTTAACGCCCACTCACATCCTGGGCCATCTGACCTCAGTAAATTACACGATAGGGTGATTGCGACCTAGGGCTGTGCGATATGACCAAAATCTCATATCCCGATATAAGACATCTATCATCCCGATAACGATATAAATCACAAAAAATTAAAGTTTTCTGTAAATTCTGTGAATCTCGGGCAGCTCGACTTGCATGAAGTGTTTTCAGCTGGGCGTCGTGTACCTGGAGTTATGACTTTTAGCCGATGCATGAAGCGATACATTTTTAGACATAAGTTGTAAAGGCCGCCGTTTTGTGGATACTCTCACAGGGCTTAAACCTGGGACTCTCCACAATTTGACCCTAGAACTGAAGAAGCTTCTCGGATAAGAGGTGAAACGTCTTCAAGCAACTTAAAGAAGTCCAGACGCCTTTCTTTCCAAGCTCCTTAGACTACGATGACCTGGATGACTGAGAACATCCACAGACAAACACAGTGCACAAATCACATGACTTCACTGTCAGTACCACTGCCCTCCAGTGTACTGGGTGATCGTGAAGAACTAAGCAAACAACTTACTTACCGTTGTTGTCGGGCTATAAGCCGCTACTTTTTGCACAAGCTTTGAACCCTGCGGCCTTTAGTCAGGTGCGGCTTTTCTATGGATTGTCCGTGATTTTTGTCATATCGTAAGACGATTTGTTTTGTGTGTTCCGCTGTTGTACGGCACTACGTTGCCTGGCGGAAGGATCGGGGTTCAAGAGTGGTATGTTAGTCACATGTCCGTCCGCCAGGCAACGTAGTGCCGTACGAAGTAGCGCGAAAAACAAACTTCAAAGTAGCGGTACGCGTTCAGCGGGAGTCGTGGATGATGAGCGGCGATAAACTTGCAAGTTATGCCCAAAAAGCAAGTTATGCCCAACTCCACCGGTGGATTCTGACAGCGTGGAAAAGTGTGAAAACATCCACGATCACCAACGGATTTCGAAGGGCTGGACTGCTGCATGATGGAGAGGAGGACACCGCCACGGCCCTTCTGAGGGTGTTCGACTCTGACACTGACAACGAGGATTTCTTTGGTTTTGAAAGTGACAACGAAGGAAAGAAGAAGAGTGGATGACGAAGCCATCCTGAGCCTGTTTGTATCCGACACTGGAGAAGAGGACTTTGGTGGTTTTAGTGCGCAGGAAGAAGAGAAAGATGGTGGTGAATGACTGACTTTTCTTCTTGTTAAAGCTGTGTCACTGCACCTGAGCCTAAAAGGTAGTCCGAATCTATTTTTCTGGTGTGCTGTAGGTTATTGTTATGTACTACATGTCACATGTACTACATGTCACATGGGTACATATTTGCACATGTAACATGTGCAAATATGTACCCATAACTTGTTTTTCAAAATATTAATAAAAGTGATGTCTCCAAACAGCCATCTCTTTCCTGACAATTCCCTTTGTGCATATTCTCTTACATATGATAAGTCAACATTGAAACACCTGCGGCTTTTGGTCAGGTGCGGCTAATGTATGTACAAAGCAGGATTTTCCCCTGATTTTAGCTTGTGCGGCTAATATTTAGGTGCGCTTTGTAGTCCGGGAAATACGGTATATGTTTTATGAATTTAAAAAAAATTATAATTTAAATTATGCTTGATGCGGATTAGGGGTCAGGGTTAGGTAGGTACAAACTTTATTTACAACATCAAACCAGGTTTTAACTTCTTAAACTCCATCAGGCAACCAGCTACAGTTAGGTTTAGAGTTACATTTAAGGCCTAGTCACACATGGCCTTGGGTCAGTTGGCAACTGCCTGAGAATCACCAGTCGCTAGGGAAAAATGTGTACTCTCCTGGCAGGTTGTGGTTACTGGCAGTCACTGTGAAAAAGACTGCCAAAGCCTCAGTCACACTGGGCTGGAGACTGGTCAGTTATGCCCTGTTAGCCACCACCTGTTGGGAAAAATGTGTATTCCCCGGCAGGCTGGTGAGTGGTTGCATGAGGCTGCCTGCGATCACTGAAACTGGTCGCAAGAAAAGCTACAAGGTCCTGTGGCAACTGCTAAAAGATGACTCTGGTTACTCATAGATTGAATGGAAGATCCTAACTTGCCAACATCTTCCATTCAAAGTATAGTGCAAACTATGGGCAACCACAGCAAGATGCTTGCAACCAAAGCAATCACAACAAGGTTTTCAATGTAGCACCCTCTTAGCGACCAATTTCACCCACCAACAGCCAGTAATCACCAGGAACACTCACTGAAAGGTTTGCAAATACATATTTTTCCAGAGTGATCAAAGGTTGCCAGCTGGCTACCAACTAGTCCCTATGCCAGTAGGATTTAACTCCTTCCAGTTGTTCTCCATTTGTGTAGCTTATAACGTTCACATAGCAACTTACAGTAGGAATTGTACCGACTCAACCTAAATTACCCAACACTCTGGGTACAAACTGCGTATGAATAAAAATCCACAACCTGAAAAAACGGTTTCTTGAACCAGCCCCCCCACCAAAAAAAATGTTTAACAACAGTTTTTATTAAACCAGTTATGATCATCTACCAATTTAAGGAAGTCTGGAGTCCAAAGTACATATGCAGCAGTACTTTAGTGCAGTGAAGGTGCACTGGCCTGTATTATTCATTAACTAGTTGTCATTTTTTTTACTCCTCATTATAATATGTACGTGTCAAGACTGTGTTGTCATCCCTGCCTGCCTGTAACAATTCTGACCCCAAAATGGGATGCAAGGATTTGCAAAATCTCACCCCAAGTCCATCTCACCTTAACATGGTACCAATGTGGAGCTACGTAGCTTACTCAGCAGGTGCTTCCCACACCCGCAGAGTTTAATGATAATAATAATATAACGGTGCTTCTACGTTGGGCTGTTTCATGCAGCAGCTCCAATTAGCAAAGATGAGGGAGTTTCCACTGAAAATTTTTTTATAATGACAATTAAAATTAATGTTATGTTGCGATAACTTAAGTTTACGAACTTGAGTTCGAGTGACCCAGTTGATATCAGCACGTGGAAGTTTTAAAATGCAGCCAGAAAATGGACACTTATTTGATCAGCAGTGTGTTAGCTACTTAGCTAACATTAGGGATCAGTCGACCACCACTTTGAATTGAGCTGAATTACACACACTACAATTATGATACAGCGCTATGGTTGAACAAACAGTGAACTCTAACCCCCACATTATAACTATTAGCTACTCAGGGTTAAGCGACGGTAAGAAATAGCCGCTTTGAACAGAATACACTTTCTTGTCATTCAAGCCGCTAGCTATAGGCCGCGCCCCAACACCGCACTAAAGTTAAAATGTGGTTGGTAACACATTTCGACCTGCGGCGTAGGTTTTCGCCTGGCCGCCCGGCTAACTTAGTTAGCTCAAAAACGCCGACCTCACGTTAGCATCTATAAGTAGCTTGCATAACATACGAAATACTAGTTAAGTTAAACGAAGAGCCAGCCTTACCGTTTAACAATACCAGTTTTAATCTTAATCTGCCGTGTTCTTGGATCTGCCATGGCTGTAGATGTAATGTATTACTGGGAAGTAACGTGTTGTCGCTAGCTTACTGTGTTAACGGTATGCAGGTGGAAGTGGAAGGAAGGATGATGAGCTGCTGGCAGATAAATCGATCGTTAGAGAAACTCATTGTCGAGTTTTCTGGTCTGAATGACAGATCTGGTAGGTAATACAGTTTCGTGAGTGTGTTTCTCTGGTTCTTGTGCATGCTTTTGCTATTTTTCTTCAAATTACACCTCGATAAACCGAAATCATAAAATGACGAAAATAAATAAATACTGTGGTGGTTAAGTTAATTAAATCAGGAGCAATTACGGAGACTGGGAGCTCTATGTTATATGTAGTTGGTTTTCCACAAAGTCTGATAATTGTTGTAAAAGACAGCTAGCCCATTTCAGCTACCTGCTCATCAGTGATCCCAAATTTGGGGTAAAGTAAGGTTACCTCATGAAGCTGTAACAAAGGAATTAATGGCCAACTACTGCCCCTCTAGATAAGAGAAAACAGCTGAGATACTCTGGGTAAGGAAATGAAGATATCTGTCAGCATCACTTTGTGGGCATCAATACTATGTAAGCACCAAAATATGAGTATCTAAGCCAGTCAGAGCTACATCTGTAGTTATATGATTGGTAGGGATTGCGAAGAAAAGGATCATTTGAAATGTTGACCTGATGCCTTTTTTTTTTCAGGAAAGAAAAACTAAACATATTCAACTGTCTAAAGTAAAGTAGCTTTGTTGTGTGTCTGCATAGGTAGTGCTGCGGCATTGAAGAAAACTGAAGACATTTCCAGGAAACATTTATACATAACAGGAACAGTACAGGGTAACTAATATGAAAGATCCCTCTCTTCCATTAAGCTTGGCCTTGTACTCCAAGTTTGCAAGCCTAACCTAAGCCTTCTATACTAAAAGGGACCAAAGCATTTGATTACACTAATACCAATTAACAATGTTAGTTACATTTACACATGAGCCTCTCAATATACAATAAATAAATATTTTGGGTAACTTTAAAAACCTAATCTAAAAGAAAAACAAAACAAAAAAACACCCAAACTAATCAACCATCACTGTTTGATTGGTGTGAGTTTAATATTATGAAGATTTAAATATTTCATTATATATGTAATATTTCATTATAATTTAATAATATGGAGATTTTTGGAAATATCTCACATGTACAATTTATTGGTACTTGAATACTTGCATTTGATGTTTTATATTGTGCCAAATCACAGTAAGCTAAAGACCCCACAATAAATCGCTCTTATATAGCACATTTCTACTCTACGTGAGCACTCAAAACTTTATACAACGTATCTCATTCACCCTGTCATACAAGCACTTTTTTCCATGCTTGAGTACTTTTTATCTGACATACACACACATTCAGACCCAGATGTATCGGAGAGCAACTTGGGGTTAGTATCTTGCCCAAGGATATTTGACATGCATGCTGGAGCAGCCACCAATTGAACAATATTGGTAGATGGCCTGCTCTGCATCCTGAGCTACAGCCAGAAGGTAAAGAAAACCCCAACAATCAAATGACCCCCTTTGTGTAAGCACTAGGCAATAGTTGGAAGAAAAAACTCCCGTTTAACAGGAAGAAACCTCCAGCATAACCAGGCTCACCTGCCATGACCTGTTGTGGTTGATGGGGGGAAGACAGGACAAAAGACACTGTCTAAAAGAGCCAAATGTTAATAATAACTAATGATGCAATTCAGAGTTGTGTATAAACACAGTGAATGAAAAAGGCGAGTGAAGAAGAAACAATTGAATAGAACTCAACTGAATTTAATTGAACTGAATGGAATTGAATAGAGAATAAGAATCTAATAATCTAATGATGTCAGATTATAGATTTGCATGGATTAATGCATCTTCTTTTTCTAAAGCAAAAGAAAGAAATGTCCATAATATTATTCCTTGCTATTTTTCACAAGATTTCTATATTTAGTTTCTTTAAGAATTAAACTGTGTATACACAAATATTGTGTGTGTAAGTTAAGGTTTATAAGCCTCAAAATGAGCCTTTTTTTATTTACACAATAGATCACTTAAATGATACGATTGACATGCCTTATAAAGCTGTGTTACAAAGACACAAAATTCAATATCATTTGAATCTTTGTGTATTTAATATTGATTTGTGTGATCTATAACAAAATGAATCAATTTCACAGTACTTTACATGGCTGCCTGTATCAAAATATATATATTTATATACTACAGACCTCAGCTTTCCCAATAACATTAAGGGTTTACAATATTCTTGCACATTAAAAGCTTTGGAACAGCAGCACACTTGTGAAGTTAGTGCTGGGAAAGGAGTACAACTTCTTTTATTTGAGCAAGAGAAAAAGTTTCCACCTGTGAGACCCACTCTCACAAAATGCAAAAAGACACCTAATGTCCCGCATTATCCATAAAAGAGAAACTGTGCTAAATACAGCTTCAGTAGTCTTGTTTTTCATGCACTAGGGTGAATTTAATTGAATCTTGTCACTGATAGAATTATGCACACAAGCATAATTTAAGTAAGAAACTACATTCAGAATAAAGTGAAATAAAAGGAAACAGGGCCACACAACAGATTGTTGTATGTATCAGGTCAAATTGGATTAGAGGCAGTAATCAGGTTTGCAGTGATGGTGTTGTGTCTCATAATGCAATTCCACTTCATCTAATAAATCCCAGTTTTGGGTCATATAGATCTTTTAGAATCAGAATCAGAATCAGAATGGGGTTTATTGCCAGATGTTGAGGTTTACAACATTAGGAAA